ATAGCAAATCTTCAGCTCCTCCCTTGCCCACCTCACCTTTGCTCTGTATACTGTTAATGAATAAAAGAGAAACAAATCATTCTTTTCCAGTTTGCTTCCACTGCCTTATTGAGGTCTAAAAACATAATGGCAACAAGATATTTCTCAACTAACATTTCAGGATACTAAATGCTCTAGGTTAAGGCTGCCCCTAGAATGCAATCTTTGTGGAAGTGGGTGCAGTATGCATTATCTGCAAGGAGGTCAATGAGGAAAAAAACTCCTGTTCTGTAGGTAATTCTGTTGCTCTTTACTTCAAAGTCTGTAACTAGTTTGCTCAGTTTCGGCTCTTTGGAAATAGAGCTGTCAGAGTAATAGTCTGTCCCACTGTAACACGCTTCTGATCCAAATCCAATCCTTGTCACTGTCCTTCATATTTGTGGGAGGAGTTTGTGACTCTCACTGACTGTCACTACTGTGCCAGAAGGAAAGACTGATTGTCTGAGGCTCTGAATTGCTGGTGTCTTTGTTTCTGGAATGACGTATTAAAAGAAACAAGTCACTAAATTTGCCAAACTTGTAGAGCTGACTACATGATGTGTCAGAAACACTTGCTTTGAGTTGAGGGGCAACCTCAAAGGATCTGGTAAAGGTAACTAACCAACCCCAAGGTTATAAGCAGCAGACTTGCATTCATTATAGTCCGTAAATCCAAACAGCTGGAAGAACTCTGGCCTAGGAAATGCTTACTGAGCTGTGTGTGGAGCTCTCTGCCTGCGGATTGTGGGTGGTGGTCTCAGCCCAGGTGCAGACTTACTGCGCACACAGTTACCACAAAAGCTATCACTACTGGTAATACTAATTGGTAGCTTTCTGAGCCCATCTGATGTAAGTGGTGGACCCAGTGTGTTGTCTGGGTCCCTGATGGGTCTGGAGGAAGGTGGCCTGTCAGAATAGAGTACAGGAAACCAGCATTTCACTGTCTCAGTTTTGTAGATTTAAAACACAGTGCTCATGTACATCTAGGGCTGTACTTACAGCACACAGCTTGATGGCTTACAGCTTTCCTTTCTATGTCACTTTTAAAGCATTCTTATTTTAGACCATTTCCTACATTTATGTGAGCCTGTCTCACAAATACTCTGGATGGTATTTTTAAAGAAATAATTATGATTTTTTTTTCTGAGCCTTCCTTAAATGGTTTAAAATCTATCTGACAACCCCTCTTGGGACACCTATTTAGTGTCAAAGACCATAACATTCCCAAATTTTAAAAGGGCTCTGATAATACTGATTGATCAATGTGTTCCTTGGGAAAATAGCTCTCCAGATGGTCTAGCAGGACCGGAATTGCTGGTCATCACAATGCAGAGCCAAAGAGCGTCACTAATGCGGGTTGTTGTGAGGCACGCTTCCTTTGTGCTCCATTTGAATGTCATAAATAGGGAAGAAAGTGTGGGAAACTCTGAGAAACTCAGGCCCACACTCTGGGGTTAATAGGGACTTTGTCAGGAGAGTATTCCTGGGCTGTGGGATCTGCATAATAAACATCATCTTCCCTAAGGGTGGGAATGTGTTGGAGCAGGGGAGAGTCACCCCAAGGGAGAGAGGCGCATAGGAAGCTTTGCATCCAATTATTATAAGTGATAATAATTAATGCATTGTAAACATAACCTTTGCTTTGCTAAGACTGGGGAAACTGGAGGTCTGAATTTAGCTCACAAGTAATCGGGGAATCAAAGCCCACGGGAGTAGGTCTTTGGCTGACCCAAACCAGAAGTGCCACGCTTGCACCAGCCATGGATCTGACTCCCTGGAGCAAATGGGAGGCTTTCTGGTGGGATTTGGATTCTCCTCTCCACCAAGAAAGCAGAACCTTACTGTTTCTCTCCCTTGCACCAATTCTGCAGATAGTAGGTCTGAATCTCATGTACACCAACTGCCCCACTATAACCAGAGTAATGTAATATGGCCCCTGCATAAATGAGAATCAGATCCTGAGGTCTGAACGTCAGCAGCAGCATCTGTCTGGATTTATGCCAATATGGCTGGCAGGGGTTCCTGGGCTTTATGGCCTGACTGTGATCTCACATGAGTTGTCCTTTTTTCCCTTGTTCCTCTTTTAGCCTAGAAATAGGGGGACTGGCTTCAGATGTAACTTATCTTCAAAGTGTGTATGGCTCTTCTTTGGTTTCCTTTTCTCTTTTCCTTCTACCTAGTGAATTTTAAACAAACTGCTGATGCTGCAATTATAATATTAGCAAGGTTCTGCAGCACAGCTTACTTGGGCTGTAATACACTCGCTGCACAAGACACCTGTCATCATAGTAGCAGCAGACTTCCCCATGCCATTATACAGTGCGTGGCTCTGCTCCCTGTTCCTGTGCTGTATAGTCAGAACGAAGCGTGCTTTGAGGCACGCTGCATATCTACTGTCTCAACTGCCCCAGAAGAATTTGTTCCCCCTCTCTGCATACTACATTAGTTGGGTTTGAGTTAAAAATACACAGACATGGATGAACAGCTTGAATTTTGCTGGTATTCAGAAGCTTGCACTAGTTGACAAAGATAAGTTGAGTGCAGCAAGGTGGAGTGGCTTTTTCCAGATCACTAAGCAACCACTAAATCTACAAATATCTCCTCTGAATTATTTAGCAGGAAATTAGGAAGAACTAATCTATCTACAGCATTGGGATCAGCCCCTGATGAATTGCAGAACTGTACAAAATCTTAAATGTATTGCACTCCCAGTCAGATGAAGAGCACTCAAACAGCTCCTGCGTTCAAGGTACAATAATAACCAAAGGGATCCATGTAACCTTAGTGAGGTAGCGCAAAACTGACTGGCTGGCTTTTTGGTCCTTTCCATACGTATAACAAATAGTTTCACCACAAGTCACGTGAAGATTGGCCAGGAACAGCCAGGACCATTTGTATCAAGTTTGTTCCTGCCAGCCAAGCAGATCTGAGATTGCTTAGTGCTTAGCTAAGCAGCTGTTTGACAAGACAAGATGTATTAGGTTTCTTTGCGTTTAAGGGAAAAAGCATGCACTAGAAATGAAGTTATTCAAGGGTACCTCTCCTAGGGAATCTGAGGGGAGGTGGGGTGGCTGATCTTAAGTGTTGCATGCTATTAATGTATCTCTGAAAGATGAGAGGTTTCTCTATCATATACGCAAACCAGTGCATTACGCAAACCAGTGCATTATTGTGGTTAGATAATAATAATACTGTGAACTGATTGTGCAGATTTATTTTACTTTGAAAAGAAGGGAAAGTAAAAGGTGACTCATCCTCACTGATCAAGGGATGGGAACTCTTCAGGGGAAACTGGGTGAGTGTTATTGTGGAAAATGCCATGTTTTGGAGAGACTGTTGGTGATCAAGGTGCTCAGGGTTGGCTTTAGGATCCTCCTTCTGTGCTCTTCTTCCTGCCTGCCCAGATGCCTTCTGAATCCCTTTTTCTCTGTTTATTTCTCTGCAAGCTGTCTGTGTGTAGCTGGGCAGGAGAAGGACGAGCACGTTTCTCTACCACAGGGGCTAATTTTCCTCGCATCGCTGGAGTGTGGCTGACTCAATCCTCTGGCGAGGGCAGCGTGTGGCCCGTATGGTAGAGAGCTGGAGAGCAGCCTAACAGGGCTACAGCTGAGGCTGGGCAAGGGCTCTGCAATGCCTCTCTTTGAGAATCACAGGAAGCCCACGCTTTTCCTTCGCTTGTGCCATTCAGCTGGTGCAAGCATGGTGGCAAGCTGTTGTAAATCTCCATTTAAGAGGATATGTCGGGTTTGTTTTCTAAATTGAAGCGGGGCAAAAAAATCGAGGGAGAATCATTTAAAAGATGCTTGACAGTGAGACCATCTCTGCAACAGGTTGGGTAGAAAAAAACACCAAAGCCTGGTGGAGTGTGGCAGAACATCTCTGAGGAAAATTAGCCACAGGTAGAAATATCTGACATGCTGTGAAGGTGCAACATTCCTGTTATCTGATAATTATTTAGCATCTTTTTTATGTATAGGCAAAAGAGCTTTACAAAGGGTAAGGCAATATTATTATCCAGTTTTTACAGACGGGGGGAGAGATTGGCTTTGCATCACTCAGCAAACTGGTAGCAGCGTTAGGAATGGACAGTTCCAAGGTGCAAGCCATGTTCACTGGGTGATCATCTTTGTGTTTTGGACCCTTCGGTGGATGTCAGAGAAAGAGAATTAAAAGTTCCAAGCAAAGAGGATAATTGAGAAATAGTTTGGGAGAGGAAATGCTGTTTCAATTGTTTGCTCTCAAGTTCTGTGTATTGTTAGCCATACGTGGACAAGTTTCACTTAACAAAACAAAAAAGGAGCAAAAAAAAAAAAAAGCTTACTATTCCTTGACAGAATTTGCGTTTAGGCAAAAGAAGGAGCTAAAATTAAAAGACTACAAGAACTAGCTCACCCCATGGGTTTCAAAGAAGAGGGTGAGATGCCAAGCAGAATCAGGTGCCAAACTATTTAGAAGAAGGAAGAAGTTATTAGAAACTTTTAGGAGTTTTGCATGTTACCATCTCCTGTATGGACAGAGCGCATAGGTCTCTGAACACAAGTTGGTGGGCAAATTATCAGGGGAGAGAGGGAATAAACCGGCTGTGAAACTGATGATTTGCTGAAGTCTGAATAGGTTACTGTTAAATATTTGGGGTCACACCACTCAGTATTTCACTTAATTTCACCTCTATTTTTACTTTTGCTAGCTTTTCCGAGGTTTTCTCTTTTGCAGGATCAAAAATCGCATTCTGCAATGTGGAATTCACAAATATGAAACTATGCACTGGGATGAAGGGCTCAGAAACATGACAGCTCCTGATAGCTTTCCTGCTGCAGAAGTCCACATGCAACACTTAGTCTAGGCGTGTTATTCGTTTTAATCATTTCATATAAAAGCATTAATGACTAAGAACATTTTTATTGACTTGTACAGTGAAGAAACCAAAGCTGAACATCACACAGGATGAATACATTGCAACTTTATAAAAGCTTTTTAAGCTCTTCCGCATGTTTAGTGAATAACTGTACAGTACTCATTGCCTCCCCTCCTCCCCCTTTTTCTTAAGGTGTATCAAAAGTACTTCCTTTACAAAAGGCATCAATTATCCCTCAACTGAGAGTAGCACCTGCTGGACATTAAGAGAATTTTCCCTACAGTAATCTGTTATCATAATAACTTTATGTAAGAAGGTACCTTAAAAATAAGACAGGAACTTTAGAAGAATCAGCATTTTTGAATAACATCTTTCACTCAAAAGGTAAAGGCTCAATGTGCTCTCTTTATGATACAAAATACATCCTCCAAAATGCCCCTTCTTTAGGAAGGTCAATACATTATCTAGAGACAAAAGAGCACTTGAACCAGTGACCCAGGGAGCTGGTTGAAAGATTTCCATTGACAGCCACAGCCATAGGCTCAACAGCCTTGTAAAGCAAAAGTGTGATGGAAACCAAAGGACATTTGCTTTCTAAATCACCACAGGACTTGGTCCTCTCTTTGGCTAGGAGCCACCCATAAGAGCAACTTTGCTGCAAGAGACAAATGAAATCCTTCACTATGAAGGGAAAGTAATTAGTGACCCTCATTTCTCATGACAGAAAAACAATAACCTCCCCCCTCCCACCTTTGGAAAGCTATGTTTCCTACTTTAAAGAGGAACTATTATATCAGAGGTCCCTCTAGTTTTTGTGGCAAAATGCACAGTAATAAAGCAAAGTCCATCAGCAGGTCTACCAGGGTCTCCAGATGGTAGGAGCAGCAGCCACACTTTTCTGGGCAGGGTGCTTTCTGACAAACAGACAGGGCAACAGAGGTAGACTACGCGGAGCAGAAGAGTACATGACGTCTGGACCCATCTGAACTTTGGAGAAATGCTTGATTAGCTGGACTTGAGTTTCCTTCTTAGGTTCATAGCAGGACAGAAAATGTAGAGCTTCCTTGAGGCACCTCAGGTACCCGCTGTTAAAGTCCTGCTCTGGATTCTTGTGAATGAATGCTAGAAAAGAAAGACGGAAGCAAATCCAATGGGTTAATGTCATGTCCAAGTAATGGGGCTGTGAGAATTTGCGCGTAAGGTTTCTTTCAAGAGCCTGATCCAGTAAAGCTTTGCTCATGTGGCTAGACCTAGTGTGTTATATCCCCCGCATTCCTCAAGGGCCAGGGCTATGCAGGAGAGCAAAGGCCTGTGGGAACAGACTCTTAATGGTGTGTACTCATGCTCTACACTCACTTTGGTCCTGCAGCTGGCTCTGCTGTTTCAGGTAGCTGACAGTCACTTCCAGGATGTCGGCTTTCTCCAGCTTGGAGTTGGGCTGGAGTCTCTGGAACTCCTTCTCCAGGAGCAGTTTCAGCTGCTCGATGCTGCTGTTAATCCGATCACGGCGCATTTTTTCCACCACTGGCTTTCTGAGCTGTAAAAGAGACAGAGCAGTTTGTTAGGGATATTTGGAGAGCTGACCTACTTTCCCATTCTGACGCATGCCCCAGTACACGCAGATGTTCAAAGACGCTTTCCTTTGATAGAAGAGCTGTGAGATGAACTGCCCACCTGTTACCCACCCAACTTCATTTTTTTTAATCAGTGTATTCTCTTTTATCTCTCTTTAATCTATTTGTCTTCCCCCAGATCACTTTTTCCCACCTATCAACTTTTTCTGTGTACTATTTGTTTGGCAAAAGCAGACAACTGACATTTTTGTATCACGTGTATTAGGAGGCTTATTGCATAGAGGCCAGACCAGCCTTTCAGCCTTTTCTGACAAGGGCTCTACTTACTTTATTCTTTTCTTTTGGCAGTAGTTTCTCCTCCATGTGGATCATGAGAGTGCTGCTGGGAGCCATTCTTAGTGCTCTCAGTCCTGGGCACAGACCACCAGGCTGGGATCCTATGCTGAGTATAAGACTATGCTCTGGCGGTTACTGACAGCCTCTACTTATACGTCAGAGAGCTTCAGAAGATATGTGAGTCTCAGGATTGCTGGTGTTTCCCACACTCGTTCAGCCAATCCAGGCACACAGCTGAACAATAGGGGAAGCACCTATTAGTGCATGGTACATTGATTGCAAATGCCCTGGAGAAAATAACCTTCTGCCCAAACCAAGTGGTGGAGTGTGCAGCGTGGCTCTGCAGGGCTGCCCAGGGATCTGGGAAAACACTGACCCTACAGCTGGCTGTCTCAGATCAATTGCATTCCTGAGTCCCTGCAAGGGGTAGTCACATTGTGGTGCGGAGGAGGCACGCTTTCAGGGGAAGGCGGGAAAAGAAGGAGGGGAACACTGTAAGGGTTAAAATCAATAGCATCAGGGACATCTCTCTACTCGTCCCAGAGCGGGCACTTTACAACCAGCCTCCCAACGCCACTTTACCAGGGCACGTGTGGGTGTGGGTGTGTGTTTGTGCTTGCTGGTGTAGTCCTCGCAGATTTCCCAGCACTAAGCCAAGTGTTATCAGTGTGAAACGGCAGGTTTGCTTGCATGTCGGTTCTAAATGCTGTGGAGAAGCTAGAGTCAGAGCTGTGGGATGGGGGATAGCCAGGGTGAACAAATAGGGAATGGGGGAAATTGTAACCTCAGCTCGCCTCTTTGCTGTTCACACTGGGATTTGTGAGCCAATTACTTGTGAGCTGTCCCACTCCCTTCATTCAGGCCATACATGCACCTCTCAGAAGAAGTAGGCCCATGCCAAGTCACCTCTGTGGATCTTTCTTTTCTGTTTTCTACCCTCTACCTTTCATACAGAAATTTTCAAGTGCAGTGGTTGTGATGGCCTGAAGAATAGCACCACATCCAACTCAGCAGCCCCAGGCATCGGGAAGCCCCAGGGGCAGGTCGGGAATGCGCCTTGGCAAGGAGGTTGGCGCTGCTTCTCTCCTGAGATTTCCAGCACATCCTGTTCTCATCCGACCTAGGGGAAGCACGCTGTCCCACTGCAGACTGGACCTTCTTGTAGGAAGTTTGCAGAACAGAAGGGTCTAGGAGACCCTATCGTTACTTCCCTGTGCAACCATTAGCATGTCACCCCCACTGTTTTCGCATCTGGAAAATGGGAGTAATGATGCTTTCCTGCATTTGCATGAAAATTTCACTAAAAAATGTTATTTCTTTTGTGTTAAAGGAAGGAAAAAGAATGAAGCTGTGTGGACACTTCAGGTCTGTTCTGATTTTGTCTGAATGGAAAAATCTCTGTCCAGATACAGTCCTTGAGGCAGCACTGAAAATAACGCAGAATCGATCTCAGAAAAAATGTGCTGCTTCCTGCCATCTGAAAGTCTGGCCTGTAGAGCCTAAAGCAGAGGTGTCCTTGTTTCCTCCCCGTGTGCTCTTGGTGCACAGAAGCGTGCCTAAGGAGCTGGAAATGGGAATGGTGGAGGGAAGTGTGCAGTGAGGTAAGAAAGCCAAAGACAATGTCTTACTTCAAAATCCTGAAGTGAGGCCTGAGTTTAATGGGCAGTTGACAGGAAGAAGGGGGGTGTCACTAAAATAGCCAGCTTCATGGTTTTCATTGTATGGGCCTGAATGGGCTTAGCTTTTTGTTAAGGGCAGATGTTGTTTTCAGAGCCCTTTATTCCCTATGTTATGGGAAAACCAGCAGACAAGTCTCTTTCCTTGCAAGGGAGCGATGGTGACTTGAAGCTAGGAGCTGACAGGTAGACATGTACCAAGCTGGTTAAAGAGACTCTTCGGTGTCAGAGAGCATCTTTTTCCCAACTCCTGAGAAGTAGCCCTGACCTTTATTGCTGTATTATAACAGCTAGCCAGATGGTCTTTTGGGAGTTGGATTCTCTCCCTTTAATTCATTCAGGCTCAAGCACCGTCACTAATGTTGTGAGTAGCTGCAAGGCACACTTCTATTGTCCCAACAAGAAATGTTATCAATAGGGGAAAAGTATGGGAAACTCAGAGAAATTCAAACCCACACAGCCTGGTGCTAATAACTCCTTTGTGTAGCCTGCATTTCTGTCAAGGCACCATGAACTCACTGGCTTTTTCACCAAGTGAAACTGAGAAGTGCATGGCTTACCATGCAGCGAGGAGTTTTTCAGAGATCTATGTTTACCAAGAGAAAAGAGCATTGCGGGGCAAGAGGGCAGAGACATGGGGAACACTGAGCACGGCTGCATGACTGGCTCACCTAGGGACTGCTGGCTAGTCTATTTTTTTGCCTGTGCCTCAGTTTGCTTTTCTGGGAAATGGGAGTGGTACTGCTAAACTTTTTCATGGAGCCTTGCTAGAATCAGGAGCTGAGCCCATGCCTTTGGCAGGGGATAGGGACAGGGCTGAAGTGGCTCTCATATGCCTTTTGGCGTTGGTAGAAGAGGCGCCACTTGGAGATGCTGCTGAATGTCTCTGAGAAGAAGTGGAGAAGGAACAGCTCTGGGGATAGTACTTCTCTGCAGGTGGAAATGCTAAGGGTGGCCTCTTCTCGCTGTCTTGGGGGAGGAGGGGAGTCACCTAGAGCTATCTGGGAGTCTGGCAGAGATGCTTCTTGCCTGGGGGTATCTCTCTGTCGTCACAGCTGCCTGGGGAGCAGGTAGCTGGCAGCATCTGTCCTATGTGCAGCCTGACCTCTAGTGGGCTTTGGCTTCTTCCTCCGGCTAGCCCATGGTTAGCATCCTCGGGAAGGCTTGTTTACACAGGAAAAATAAAAGGGTTTCTAGGACCAAGCTAGCTTTGCTCTAACTTACACAGGCAATGTGCTAGTGGCAGTATCATCAAGGAAGATGGCAGCAATGAGAACACAGCATCTCAAGTAGGCTTTTGTTGCAGTGACCTATGCTGACACATCTTCGGTAAAATTTTTATCCTTGATGGAGATATGGGGTCTGTCTGTTGTGCTGCACTCACAACTTACTATTACTTGGTGGACATGTCCTAACATTTAAGCTTCCTAGACTTTTAGCACTACAGGTTCAGTTCCCTGAAGTATTACCACATCACTTCATCTTCTTAAGACTCTTGTAGTTCACTCTGTGGAGGTTTTTTGGAGGAGGTGTGAAAAGACAGGATGCTGTCTGTTTGAGGTGATACTTAATGACCACTGGACCCTTTTTTATTCATGACAACTGCTTACTTTGGTGTCACAGATGAAGATCCTTCCTCCCAAAGCCCCCAGGTGCATATAACCCGGCCTATTGTATTCTGCTCAGGGCTTTTCGGTGATATTACATTCTACGTAGTAGATAATTTAAAAATGGTTTGGCACAATATATTCAGACTCACAAAGATTTTGCAGATTTCTCCTGCAAAACTTGCTACTTAGGCTGGGCTTCTTCCACTCTCACAAGCCAAGTTTAATTCTGCTCTCTGAACCAACAGAGTGAAAATACAGTGAAATCTGCCACTTTCAGGGGAAAAGTTGTTATTAGACCTATTATGAAAAATATTCCATGAATTATCATTAGCATAGCACTATCTTGCCTTCTTTAGAACCGTGGCAAAGAAAAGGCCTTTTATTACTGTAAAGTACATTCTTTACAACTTTAACTTTGTTTTAAATAGGTTTTCTTTAGATCTAGCATCCTTAGTACACTGCCATTCCCAGGTGCTTAAGGGAAGGAAAGCGGACTTTGATTATTAAGAGACATATGAGGCAACATGATCCTCCTTTTCAGGGTTGTTAGAGGCAAAAGCAATTTCTGTAGCTGCTTGTGTGGGTGACCCTGAAATAGTCATGCACCAATGACACAGTCTTCCTGCAGCAAGTATTACAAATAATTAAAAGTTGAAAAGAATTTATTATTTTTCTGCCTAGCTGAAATTCCCACAAGTCACCTCTCAGCATATTCCAGGGTGCACAAGAGGGATTTATTATTTCCTGGAATATTGACTCTGAAAGGTCTGGGGATTACAGCTGCTTTGCACATGAATAGCTGGAGTGTGTTGTACAAAAGGCATGGTCTGTGGGATAATGGGCTTGGATGTGGGAAAGTGCTGACCCTGGGAGAGAGCAGGCTGGTGCCTGATGGCAGGAATCAATTATGACTCAAAGGAACACATTGCCCTCGGAGCAGGGGTTTGCTAGAGCCACCATGTTAATGTGTTTACCACTGTACCCCTTTAAAAACCCAGATAAGACAATCATAGAAAATGTCCTTTCTCTCTGGCACTTTTAAGTGGTTTGCATGACAGGGCTGTACTGCCAGCCTTGAGGACTAAATTCCTGTAGGCATCCATAGACGGTGTAAGCAGCAGGGTAAACTTTCCTCCAGCCTCCAGGCTGGCAAAGGGGCACATGTGGAGCATGTGAGTGAGTGTTCTGGCCAACTTAATGCAAGAATTATGCACTCTTGCATGTTTTGTGCATGACACCTATCCTCCTGCCTCTGCCAGGGAACTCAGCTACATCTTGCTCTACATTTATGTTAATCAGTGCCATGTGAGCTGCGGTCTCATTAACATAAGTATTTCCCATCTCAGCAACAGGGCTGAGACCCAGCATTTGTCGTGCATATGCCACCAAACAGTTTTGAGACTCTAAAGCAGCCCAGATAGTGGTAACTCAGTGGGAGCACAAATTCCCCAAAAGTGCTTTGAAATACCCAGACCCCATCAGTCAGTCACCTTCTCAGCTCTGGCCAAGGAAGAAGAACAGCTTTTGACTTAGACTGGATGGAGCAGAGAATCTGCTGGGTTCATGCACTTCCTTCATCATTTTTTTCAAAGGTGGTGCTACTCGATTTTTACAATGGGCTCAGCATCTTTGAGGATCTGGCATCATTGCCAGCCTTTCAAATGTCAAAATTTTGGCTTCAAGAAATCAGGAAATGGGCTGAGTCATAGACATTTATAATAATATTTTGATGTTTTTGATCAAAGGAAAAGTATTTTGACGGATATTTCAC